AAAACGGGATCCTCCATTCCTCACCCCCCCCCGCTCTCTTCACCACGAGAGGTGGTCCCATGCCCCCCCCCAGAGATATTTACTAGCTACGCCCCTGAGGCTAAAATACAAAATATAAAGGCAGGACGTTTCGGTACCTTACGGCACCATTATCAACTGATAAAAAAGAAATACAAATAATTTCTTTTTAATTTATTTTTTATTTTTATTTCTTTTTTAGCAGTTGATAATGGTGCCGTAAGGTTCGAAACGCCCTGCCTTTATATTTTGTATTTAGCCTTGTTTCCGCTTTTTCCTGTGTTCTCGATTGAAAAACAGATACTTGACTGTGGGTAGAATCCACCACATTAAAAATTTCCGAGAGAAATTTTGTGCCGGAGTCAACGTAGCTCCCAAAAAACCCGAGTCATATGAGCGCGGAGCGGAATCCATGCATGCTCTTTACGGTGTGACTTACACTATTACGACACTATTACGGAGGGGAATTTAATCTTTAGAGGAGTGTATATGTAATACGTTTTTATGGTGCTACTTTCACCTCGCATTCATGTTACTCGGGGTTTTTGGGCGCTATACAGACTCCATACCGGGATTTCAATCCTCGATTTTTAACAATGTGCGAAGTGAAAAAAAAAAAAACACTACACAGAGAGAAATTTCAACACAAAAGTTTGGTAAATACGAGCAGTAAAACACAAAATAACCCTAGCCCTCGGTTGACAATTTCAAGAGAAAATGCTACCTAGTTTTCTTGAAGAAATTTAATAAAAAAACGAGTGGTGAATGCCTACGTCGCAATCTGAGAAATGCATTTTCCTTGTCTCTCCATTGTTTTCTGCGCTAAATTTACCGCAAACGTATCAAAATCAACACATTTTGTTTTGGTTTGTGTTTCACTACCTATATTAACCAAAAGTAGCACAAGAACACATTTGTATCAAAGCCCAGACCCAATTTAAATTACAAATAGAGTAGTTTATGTCATCGGCATAATAGGGAACGCTGGTATCGAGTAACGATGTGAGAGAAGCGAGCAAATGCCCTCAGTTCTTACTGCATCCGACAAAGTAAACGTATTTTATCACAACGCCTGCAGGATGCAACTATTCGGGCTCTACGGATGTCCTTGTTGCATACGCCGAGACTGAAGGCGTTTTGACTTCTCAGGCACTTCCTGCTTCACATCACACGCGGCAGTGGGGACTGGGCAGTACCGCACGAGGATCCAAAAAAACAGAACGCTTTCAATTTTTCGTTCATTATACAAAAATATCTCTTGGATACAAATTGTTGCTCTAAAAAATACTCATACTCCAGCACATCGCGATATCAAAACTGAAACACAGAAGATACTTAATTCTTATGCATGTGAACAGCTATTCGTGTCCAAGAGATGTTCTAGTAGTGTAAACTGTGTAAAACAAAGAATAGGCAAGAGAATGGCCAGTAAAAAAACCATGAGTGAGAATTAAATAGGCAATGCCTAAATGTAGTTGTACGCTGATTTTACCGTCCAAAGCTGTGAGAGACCTAACAAAAATGTTTTCACAAGCTAACATGTTAATGTATCGCTGCATTTAATCAATCAAAACCTTTTTCCGATGATCTTCAAACGCTCTCTCTACTGTGCTTGTCTTATCACTAGGTGCACGTGAAATAATCTTTGAGTTGAAAAATTGGGTAACTTTTCTACCCCTTCGTTAGAGTCTCCATGTTATAGCGCACAGTTTTCACAATGGCCCAGTTAACAAGGGCACGGTACGAATTTAAGCTTTTAGATACATGCATCTTGACCAAAATTTCACGCAGAACACGGTTCGCACAACGGAAATTACTAAAACTAACTTCTAATCAAGATATATGTATTTAATGTTTCTTGAGGCATAAACAGTCTCCCAAAACGCCCCTTTTTCGGTATTTGATTCGACCATCGAACCAAGGTTTAAGTGGAAGCTTATAATGACAGAAAACTCAGGAAAAAATTTCAAGATGAGTATAGGAACCGTTTTCGAGTCAGGGGGGGGCAACGGGGTCCAATTCCGGCCTTGTTTTTCGCTATTTTGGGGGGGGGGGGGGACTTGCCGAAAAAAGGGTGGACTTTTACTGAGAACGTCAAAACCTACTTGAAAAGTTTGACTGAGACTCTTGGTATCTGCGTTGAAGACTGCGAATCCTCTTTCACCCCTTTGAAATGCAGCTTGATTTGCTTCACTATCCCATTCACACCACCATTTTTCAATGGACGCATCTGTAAGAAAATAAGGAGGGTAACAGAGTTTTAGCAAAAAAATATTTAGAGTCCATCTTCGAAATCAATTGTAACGTTGAAAAAAATCTCCGAATATGATTTGTTCTCTTTAAAGGAAACTAATCAAAATATTTCCATGCAATTTTTTTTAAAATTTTGTTTCTTGATTAGTGAGGGCAATTCACGGGCAATATAGATAGAAGCTTTAAGTTCGTTGTGACTTCAGCCATCGAATGTTTTTCCTCGATCATACATAAGAAACTTAACGAGAGTCTGGATTTTACCTTTTACAACATTTGTGAAGTGTCTTATGATCCACTGGATACTTTTATCTCTGTGCTCGCACGTCCATGGGTGTGTGCACTGGCTCGGTGACATGACATTCTCTGATCGGTCTACTGGAGGTCCTTCATTCGTGTCTTTGTAACTAAACCCCGAAAAAATGTTCGGCGTGTTTCTTGAGAATGTAAGGATGAAGGCATTCATCACCTGAAAATTGAATCGAGAGGTGTACAATATGACTCAATTCTTCCATTGGGTCAGTTGCGCTGGTCACAGAATCGTGCCTTGATGCTTGAATCTTGTAGATCAGCTTAAAATAATAAGATCGGTCATGCAGCGCAACTCTATGTTCAATGTCATTAGCCGAGATATCGCGCTTTAAAAAGTCGGTTTATAATGTCATCTACTGCGGTATAGTGACACCCTTGGTTTCTTCCACCTTGCTTTCATCAGTTAGGGAAGGGATGCATACATTTGCACTCACTACTCAACGTGAAATTCGGATGAGTGCAATGTGTAAGAAACTAAGGGTGTCATTACCGCGATGGATGACGTCATAAACCGAATTTTTCGAAGCACGATACATCGGTTAGTACTCAACGTAGAAAGTTGCTGTTTAGACACATCTTATAAATTTAAGCTAATCTACAAGAATCAAGCATCAAAACACGATTCTGTGACCACAGCAACTGACCCATTTTTAAGAAAAAGATCGATGACCAAAAAGTAAAATCAGTAGTAAAACCTACTTCTGCGACATTGAAGACTTCTTGACATATTTCATTTTTTCCTCGGAAATCTATATTTTTAAAATTTAAGTAATCAATTCAAAATTAAGTACATTCATTCGCAAAAAAAATTCAAACTTAAGACCCAAGACTCAAATTGTCTGATGTGTGTGGCTCATCTATTTCGTCCCCCCCCCTTATTTTTTTTCCAAAATTAAGATTTTAATTTCCGTTTCATGTCATACATATATGAGACCATTGGGCAGTAGTTTTCAAAAATGATCGAAACTCACGAAATTTCATCTCATAATAATGCGTCTCATGAAATCTTGCATCTCTACTTAGAACCATAGCTGAGAGAGTTGGCGCGCACCTTGCGGAGCGCCTTCAACATCGTAGTTATGCTTCAAACGCGACACTCACGCTCTAATGTGTAATTTTCGCATGTTGCTTATGTCCAGTTTAGAATTGCCCAAAAATTGAAAGATTTTTAATGCCACGAAATTCATGTTGAAATCTGCAAGTTTTATTTCCATGCCGAACTGAGAAGGAAATTTTCAATTCCATGAAGCCTAGATGGAAATGACGTGGTTTCCGTGTGAGTTGCATGGAAGTGTTATGAGTTCCATGTCGAGCTCACAAGGAAATATTTTCATTTCCATAAGACTTGATGGAAATGACTTGGTTTCCATGTGGGTTGCATGGAAGTGTTATGAGTTCCATGTCGAGCTCACAAGGAAATGTTTTCATTTCCATGAAGGCTTGATGGAAATGACTTGGTTTCCATGTGAGTTTCATGGAAACGTTATGATTTCCATGTCGAAGGACATGGAAGTCAGACGATTTCCATGAAATCACATGGAAATCGGGTCATTTCCACGTGAATCTACATGGAACATTTTTAGCAGGGATATAGTCAAAGTAATTTGTTGAAAACTGTCTTGATTTTTCTTATGTGTCACCAGGATCTCCTGTCTAAATTTCAAGCTTTAAAATTGGTTTGCTTCTCTTCAAAAAATTTAATAGGAGCGGAAATTTTGAAACACCGCAACGGAGATAAGTGGTTTTGCACTTCGGCCAACGATTTTAAGGTGTTATTTTAGTGAACCCCAGCGCTCCCCAGTATATCTGTTGCCTACACTGGAAAAAAACACATTGTATCTAGAGTCCAGTCTCTTAAAAACATCGACAAGAAAAAATACTCTTGATTCAATCGGATTTTTGCTTAAATCATGAACCAAGCCTCTTAATTTGAGCGGATTTCCTTTTAATTTAAGATTAAATCTGATTGAATCAGAATATTTTTTCTTGTCAATGTTTTCAAGAGTCTGGACTCTAGATCCAATGTGTTTTTTTCCAGTGTTTGTGGAAGAATCGAAGGCAAACTTCAAATGGACGATAAACTATCAATACTGCCGTGCTAAGGAAAAACGCCGTATGAATCTTCAGACGTTGCCAAATTTCCTTAGATAAAACGCATATTTCCTGGTAAACTTGTGAATATTTTCCTTCCAATTTTTCAGATAATTTTTTTCGCAATTTCACCTACAGATTTTGAAAATTTAAAGGAAAAATATTCATAACCTCCTTCAAAAATGAACGATTCACTGAAGGAAATTTGGCAACTCTCGAATGTTCATACTGCGTTCTTCCTTAGTACGGCAGAAAAGGTCCACAACATAGTTCATCGGTCCAATCAATGCATTGCTCATGGATAGAAATGTGCGGTTTTCAAACAGAACAAATTACTAGCTTTACTTGCGCTCCGAGATAGATTTGTGCCTATACGCTAAGATTGAAGGCGAACTTCAAGTGGACGATAGGTGAACGTATTTGTGCCAAAATAAACTATATGTTGCACGCAAAGCCTGTGCATATAGTTCCTTTTAGCATAAATACGTCCATGTAACGAACAGAATCACAAATCGTTTGGTGGCTCAGTCAAGGCGTTCTGCGAGGTAGGTATCTATATCGAATGTGAGATTCCCAAACCACGCATTTCGGTTGGCGACTTCGAAGATTTCTTTGATACTTCATCTTTTATGTGGGAAACTACTGTGATGTTCACGATCCCTGTTTTATTTTTCCAAATTTTTTCCATCTTTTTACAAACTTGATTATTTTCAGTCCGAGCACAATCTAAGCTACAATCTGTAATCTCTTGCAACTTCAGTCATTATTTTTAATAGCGCTTTATCGCCCTTATCAAAAGCCTCGCTTCTCGAGCATCTTATTTTTCGTTTCAGAGTGACAGTTCTCCAGCTACAGAGCAAGAGTCAACTTGCTGGGCTACCTCCGGATGCCTCGGCCGGTGGGAATCCTCAGCTCTTGCTATAAGCCGTCCTAATCCTTATTTTCTTTTGCAGGAACGCTGTACTTTCATATGCTTTGCATATTTTACTCTATTAAATATGATTATTCTGTAAATGCCTTCTGCATAAAATTATGAAGTCATTTTTAGACTTTCATTTATTTATTCATTTCGATTTGAGCCTTTGTTAAGCTCCTAAATTATTTAAGCGTCTTCAACGCAATATTTTGAAGTCTATTGAAAGACTGTTTTCAATTTTTAAATATTTTTCATTTTATTTCCATAAGGAAAATTAAAGATGTATTTTGTTTGTGTGTTACTAATCCTCTTTTTGCAGCATTGTTATTTTGTGCTTTGCAACGACTTCGAGGATGATCCAGTTTTGTACCTCTGGATTCTGATATCTTTGGTGATGTAATTTCATTTTATTTTATATTTTGTCCCCTTTTCTTTGTGCCTTCAGCACCTTAAATTTCAATTATTAAAATCTGTCCATTTGAAACGCATTATCTAGTCTTCCATTATTTTCTTGTTAATTTTTAAGTTTTACCTTTTTCTTTCCAATTCAGTTTTCTAATCAAACTCTCCCACACTATTTTAGCAGGTGTAATTGTCCAAATACTTGGATTTTCACTTTAAGGGTGAATTTCAGAGTATTTCGTCAATTATGTCTTAGCAACTGCTCCTCCAGTGATAAGAGTTGATTCCATGTAAGAGTAAGTCGTAAAAGTATGAAATTACGCATTATATGGAATCGAGTCTATCTCTGAAGGAAGGAGAACCATTTTCTTAGTATTTTAAATAAGGGGTGGTTCTTACAAATGAAAACGGCTCATTCTCACCAATGACGCCTACGCCCTGACGAATAACATTGAAAGTTCCAACAACATTGGTCTTAACTACATCCTCAAAGTCCTCAAGTTTGTGCATGGTATTTTTGTTGAAATTGTATACTTTATTGGCTCTTGCAATGCCTGCACAGTTTACGATCACATCCAGTTTTCCAAAACGTTTCTTGGTATCGGTTAAGGCTGATGATACATCACTTTCTGAGGTGATATCAACAGGGAAAAATTTGGCATCACCACCGAACTCTGATGCAACTCCATCTCCTCCAGACTTCGGAAGATCTAAAATAGACACTTTCCCACCTTCCTTGATTAGTTTTTCTACAGTTGCTTTACCAAGACCAGATCCACCACCAGTCACGAGGCTAACAAGTCCGAGGCGAAACGCAAGAAAAGAAAAAAGAATTAATTACGCATTACCGTAATTTTAGGAAAAACTGAAACAAAGATAACAGTTTTAACAAGAATACATAGGAAAGTATCCAAAAGATACAAAAGTAAAGAATAAAAATGCATACAAGTGCAAAAGAATAAAATATATGTGATTCAGATGATGCAGTGCCCAGTGCCTTTTATTGAAATTAAATAAACTGAAAATTAGTCAAATTCTATTAATACTAGTCAAAATTGAACGCGTACTAGTCCAGAGAGTTACATTAAAAGAAAAAGTTAAAAAAAAAGTAATAATTTCAATAATATGAAAGCAAAATTTCATAAAAGATGAAAGCTCAAAGAAATTAAAATCAAAACTGAAGTAAGATTTGTTGCACTAGAGTTAGTGAAATGCTCCAAACTGAGCTTGCTCAAGAATGAGGCTCAAAGAATGAAAAAAAATAATCACAAAAACATGGCAACAAAAAAAAAGAAAATATTGAAATTCAAAATATAATTGACATAAAAAGTCATAAAAAGAAAGAAATTTACAAAAATAAGTAAATTTACGAAGAAATGATATAAATTCTGGCATAATAGAAATCGTGATATGATTGGTTGAACGAAAAAGGGGTTAGAGTTTGGTTTGTGCTACCCAATTATTTTTCTGCACCATGCGAGTGAAAGTGGAGGCCATAGAATTTAAAATAATTGAGCAGAGAGTTATTGAAATTAAAGTTTTCACCTATTTTTATAAAACTGTGTGAAGATAATAAATGTATACTTTTGCGCTGTCCGTGAAAAAGGATGCCATAGATCGATACATTTAAATCTGTTTCAAGGGATGCATGTCACTATTCCATTCACAATTTTACAAGAACGGTTCAAACATAACGGAGTTTAACAGAAAGAAGAAAGCCACTTTAAGTCTTTTGTAATTTGCCATAG